TAGGTTCTAGAGACTTGTGGGAAATCTTAAACAACATCAATAACAAAGATGTCTAGCATTTTATCTCTAATTCTATAGGGTATTATTGAATTAAAAGAATTAGAAGGTGAATCTTGTTTCCTTCCTGTGGTCCAGTATTTTTTAGGTAAAAGTATTATTTCATAAAAAAGTCGTCATTAAGGGATCTTATTACTTTTCCTATGGATAAGGCTGAGCTATTTGCAAAAAACTTTTCTTTTAATTTGACTCTTGAATCATATGACCATAATCCTATTTTTTCAGTTAAACAGGTTAACCTATTGTTAGACATTCAAATCACTCCAGCTTCCCTTGCTAAAGTCATATCTCGGTTAAATTCTGTCCAGACAACAATCCTGTCATAGTTTTTTTATATTTTATTATGTTAATTCATCTTTACGAGGCCGAGACAGTCACTACAGATGAGGAGGCTACTTAATTGTGGTTATAACCTTCTCTCAACTTTATGACATGAACCTTGACGAACAAGGTCACTGCGCGGAGAAACAAGTTGAGTATTACAAAATTGTTTTCCAGAACTCTCTTCAATTTTCTCTAATCTATTTAATAAGTGCTTGACTGAGTCTTGTTTTCATGCCTGCCTATTATTAGTAAGATATTGCAGCCTTGTTGGAAGTGAATTAGAATTAAAAAAAGAAATATTTTTTTATTTTTTTTTAACTATCTTCGCTTCCAACAAGGCTGCAAGCAAACACTAATTAGTGTTGGAAGTTACTGGAGGAGAAAAGATGAAGATTGTAGAGCAAGATAACGATTGACAGACGACTCAAAAGATTGCAAATTATATGAATCAGGAAAGCAAGATGAAGGAAGTGAATTCCAAAGAACTGATGTTCTAGAAAAAAAACTAGATGAATAAGAGTTTTTGGAACACTTAGGAACAGTAACAGAAAAAGGATGAGACTTGATTGAATGACGAGTAACACGAGAATGAATTTTAGTAGATGGCACAAGAGACGTTAGCTCCTTTAAGCAGTGCCAATTATAGTATTTTTAGAAAAGAGAAAGAGAAGCAACATTATGACGATGTGACAGAGGTTGAAGGTTGGCTGCAAGAGCAGGTCCAACTATGTTTACAATGCGTTTTTGCACCTTGTCTAAAAGAGAAAGGGCATCATTAGAAGATCTGCCCCAGATATGGCAACAGTATTCCATACAAGGCCGGATTTGAGATTTATAGAGATAGAGAATAGAATCCAGAGTAAGAAAGTGACGAGCTCGATAAAGAGAAGCAACTTTAGCAGATGCTAATTTTGCAACGGATTTGATATAAGATTTCCAAGAATAATCAGAAGTAAGAGTTAATCCTAGAAGATGAAGGGTAGGAGACTCATCGAGTACATTACCGTTCATAAATATAGGAAGGTCTAAATTATTGCGATAACGATTGGCCGAAAAAAATTGAGTTTTATCTGAATTAAAGTTCACCAGCCACTGTGAGCCCCATGCTGTAGCAGAAGTGATATCCTTTTCAAGCTCAGATGCCCCCTGCAAGCAATCAGAGGGAGTTGGCTTCTTATCGTGACAAGAATAAATGGTAGTATCATCAGCAAACAATGCCACCTTAGATGTGAGAATATCTGGAAGATCGTTAATGTAAATTAAAGAGCATAGGGCCAAAGATTGAACCTTGGGGAACCCCTGAGGTTACAGAATAAGAAGAAGAGTGCTGTCCATCAAGGACAACTTTTATACTACGATTGGAAAGGAAGAATTCAATAACCTTAAAGATGTTTCCAGATACACCATAAGAAGAAAGCTTATGAAGAAGACCAGCATGCCAAACTTTATCAAACGCTTTAGAAATGTCAAGAGCGATGGCCTTAACCTCTCCACCTTTATCTAATGCGCAATAAAACCTATCGGTTATTACTGATAGCAAATCAGCCGTAGAACAAGAAGGTCGAAATCCATATTGATGATCAGAAAGAAGGTTATAAGATTCGAGATGAGAGATTTAGTGTTTGTTAATTAAAGATTCAAAAACCTTGCTTATGATAGGAAGAAGACTAATGGGGCAGTAGTTAGATGATTCAGATCGCTCTCCAGAATTTTTAAAAATAGGGATAACAGATGCTGCTTTCCAGCAGGCTGGAAAACAAGACTCTGATAAGCACTTGTTAAATAGTTTTGAAAGGATAGACGACAGCTCCGGAGAACACTTCTGCAAGACTATAACAGGTATGTTGTCCGGGCCTGTAGAAGAGTCTAAGCGGGAAATCACTTTAGATACAGAAGCTGGAGTGATATGAATGTCGAGCAATGGATCAACCTGTTTGACGGGTATATCAGGTAAAACGCAACTAGTGGCACCAAGAGATGATATTGATGAAAAGTTCTTGGCAAACAATTCAGCTTTGTCTTTAGGTGAGGTAACAAAGTCTGAACCATACAAAAGAGGTGGATTTACAGACTTGCCCTTATTATTGATACTATTAAAGATTCTCCAGAAGTCACGAGAGCCTAATTTTTGTGATGAAATTCGAGATTTCATGATCTGAGAATAGCGAGCTTTGGCGTTAGACAAAACCTTTTTACAATGGTTCCTAGCATTAATAAAGAGACGTCTGTTTTCTGGAGAATTGTTTTGCTGATAGATATGGAAGTAATGGTTTCATTTGGCAATTGCAGCAGCACATTGTGAGGAAAACCATGGAGAAGAGTGAGGCTTGACCTGGAATCGTCGAGAGGGAATAAAGGCTTCCATGCCAGCCTGAATCCACGAAATTATGTAAGAAGCACATTTGTTTACAGGAAGACAAAAGATTTCTACCCAGAGGCCATCACGAAGAAAATCACGGAAAGAGTCCCAGTCAGCTTTAAGGTAGTTGTAAGATGTACGATGATAGGGGGATTCTGATGGTAAAGAAGAATGAGAGAATAGTTTTAGAGAGACCAAACCATGATCAGACGCACTTAAGAGTGAGTGTGAAGAAACTGAGCACTGACTAGGATCAGAAACAAGACATAAGTCGAGTAGAGAAGGTAAATGATTCGGGTTGTCTGGAAAGCGAGTTGGAAAGTTGACTATTTGAGTTAGGGATTGAGAAAGACAAAAGTTGTGGGCCTTAATGCCTGCAGAGTCACTGACACTAGAACCAAGCCATTCAGTGTGATGAACATTAAAGTCACCGACAACAAAAATATTGGCTGACGGATAAATAATGATAAAATCAAAAATTAAAGCAAATAAAGCTAAAAATTTTACTACTAAAAATCTTCATTTTATTAAAACTTAACCTTTAACCCTATTCTCAAGAAATTTTTAATAACTTAATAAAAAATAATATTTAATAAATTACTTATAAAGTATTTAATATATTATTGAATAAATTATTCTTTAATAGTTGTTAAGTCTACTATAAATCAAAAAATTATTTTATGTTATTTAATTATATAACAAATTCAACTTTATCTCTAAAGAATTAAATTTTCACAGTAAAGAACACTTAGAATTAATATTTATATTAGCAACTATACCAATAGTAATCATAAAATTGATGCCTTATAATTTTTATTTTACACAAACATAACTTCATTGAAAATAATTTAGACAGAGATTTTTAAAATTATAGAGTAGTTGTAGAATTAGACTTATCTTTGGCATGAAGTTTTAAGTGTTAAAACACTATTATATTTTATTTTATTATTTTTTTTAAACATCTTTGCCTCCAACAAGGCTGCAAGCAACCACTAATTAGTGTTGGAAGTTACTGGAAGAGAAAAGATGAAGATTGTAGAGCTAGATAATGATTGACAGATGACTTAAAAGATTGCAAATTATATGAATCAGGAAAGCAAGATAAAGGAAGTGAATTCTAAAGAAGCGATGTTTGAGGAAAAAATCTAGACAAATAAGAGTTTTTGGAGCACTTAATAACAGTCACAGAAAAAAGATGAAACTTAATTGAATGACGAATAACAAGAGAGTGAATTTTAGTAGATGGCAAAAGAGACGCTAGCTCTTTAGAGCAGTGCCCATTATAGTATTTGTAGAAAAGAGAAAGAGAAGCAACATTACTATGATGTGATAATCGTTGAATATTGGCAGCAAGAGCAGGTCCAACTATGTTTACAATGCGTTTTTGCATCTTGTCTAAAAAAGAAAGGGCATTATTAGAAGATCCTCCCAAGATATGGCAACAGTATTCCATACAAGGTCAGATTTGAGATTTATAGAGATAGAGATTAGAATCCAGAGTAAGAAAGTGTTGAGCTAGATAAAGAGAAAAAACTTTAGCAGATGCTAATTTTGCAACGGATTTAATATATGGTTTTCAAGAAAGATCAGAAAGTAAGTTATTAGATTCAAGATGAGAGACTAAGTGTTTGAAGAAGACTAATGGGACAGTAGTTAGACGAATCAGATTGCTCTCCAGAATTTTTAAAAATAGGGATAACAGATGCTGCTTTTTAGCAGGCTGGAAAACAAGACTCTGACAAGCACTTGTTGAATAGTTTTGAAAGGATAGACGACAGCTCTGGAGAACACTTCTGCAAGATTATAACAGGTATGTTGTCCGAGCCACAAGCTGTAGAAGAGTCTAAGCAGGAAATCACTTTAGATACAGAGGCTGGAGTGATACAAATACCAATCAATGGATCAACCTGTTTGACGGCTATATGAGGTTAAACGCAACTAGTGGAATCAAAAGATGATATTGATGAAAAGTTCTTAGCAAATAATTCAGCTTTGTCTTTGACTGGTGAGGTGAGGTGACAAAGCCTGAACCATGCAAAAGAAGTGGAATTACAGACTTACCCTTATTATTGATACTAATAAAGATTCTCCAGTAGTCACGAGAGCCTAATTTTTGCAATGAAATACAAGATTTTATGACCTGAGAATAGCGAGCTTTGGAATTTGCCAAAATCTTTTTACATTGGTTCCTAGCAGTAATAAACAGATGTCTGTTTTCTGGAGAATAGTTTTGCGGATAGATATAGAAGCAATCGTTTCGATTGGCAATTGCAGCAGCACAATGTGAGGAAAACCATGGAGAAGAGTGAGGCTTGACCTGGAATCATCAAGAAGGAAAAAAGGATTTTATGCCAACCTGAATCCACGAAGTTATGTAATAAGCACATTTGTCAACAGGAAAATAAAAGATTTCTACCCAAAGGCCATCACAAAAAAAATTACCGAAAGAGTCCCAGTCAGCTTTAAGGTAATTGTATGATGTACAATGATAGGGGGATTCTGATGACAAAGAAGAATGAGATTATAGTTTTAGAGAGATTAAACTGTGATCAGAGGCACCTAAGGGTAAATGGGGAAAACTGAGCACTGACTAGGATCAGAAACAAGACATAAGTCATGTAGTGAAGGTTAACGATTTGTCTGGAAAGCGAGTTGGAAAGTTGACTGAGTTAGGGATTGAGAAAGGCAAAAGTTGTGGGCTTTAATGCCTGCAGAGTCACCATGATTACTTTCTTAAGTACCATGATTACCTCCATAAAGATAACACTAACAAACTTTACCATGATTACCTACATTAAGCAATCTTTCTTGTAAAGTGTTGAAATTATTGGAAAAATATTTTTAGCCTTCTCTTATTGTCATTTGAATATGGTGAATTTGTAAATAAACATAAAAACAGCAATGTAATGAAAATTAGTAATACCAAATTACACTTAACTAAATATTAATTTCAAGATAAAGAAATAAAATCCAAAGCATACCTTTAAAATCTCAAACAGAATATAGTACAAGTGTGATGGGACATAATTTATGTAAATCTCTGAACCTTTTGATAATGCTGTAAAAAAAGTTTAATTAAAAATATACACTATAACTTAAATGAAAGTAACTAATTAAAAGTCTTATAAATGTGTAAAACTTGACCTGAAATATAAAACTTACTGTTGACTTCATTGATCATAACTTGAGGAAATACAAAATATGACTGCTCACATAGAAAACTTGCATTTTCTATGGCATCTGATAAAATAAAAATTGTCAACAAAATTTAAAACTTTTCAAATTATTATTAATTGACAATTACAAATAAACATAGTAATCATAGTAATCAAACAAAATTACCTTTAAGTATAGTTTTAACACAACAGTTAGGTTCAAACACCCCAATAAATTTTTCAGAACTGTCATTAAGATTTTCTTTGAACAGCGCCACTTAAAAAATAAAACATTTAATTTCTTCACTTAAATATACATCCTCTTCCCTTCCAATAAAATGTATTAAGCAAAATAAAATCTGTTAAAACTGATTTTTAAAAAAAAAAAAGGGAAAAATGTTGCAAAGAAAAACACATACAATGTTGTGATATAAGAAGACGAATTCCAATCCTATTCATATAAAAGCGATCTACAAAAAAAAAATTTTAAAAATCAAATATTTATTTCATAAAACTTTTTTTTTAGTTCAACAAAAAAAGAAGAGAAAAAAAAAAAAAAGAAAAAAGAGAAGTGTCCATGTACTTAACTGTCAAACAGGGTGAAAATAGACACTATTTAATCATTTTTGCATCATAGGAAAAAAATGTTGACCACATTGAGGCTTTTTTTTTTTTTTTGACAGCTTATTATACTTTCCCAAAATGTTAACTTCTTGAAAATTATAAATTTTACTTTTCAATAACAATGCTTTAATACACAAATCTTGAGTGATAGCTTTATAAACAACTTAAACTGTCTGAAGAACAAAACTCATACTGTCTATATATGAGAAGAGACATGACTGATACTGTTTATCTCATACTCATATGGTACTCATACTGTTTATATGTGATAGAGATATGCAATAAAAGACAGAAAAAGAAAACTTTGTAAGCAATCTATAATCAGCTTCTACACATTATATTTATGTCAATTTGTTTATAGTTATAAAATTTATTGGGTATATTTTTTGTGCATGTTTGTCACCATATCCATATTTTTTTCTAAAAATTATTGGTGCTGCTTACTTATCTACATTAAGTTTGTTGCTTTTATTATTTATATAAACATACTTAGCTACATTAAGTTTTTGCTTTTATTTATATAAACATACTTAGCTCCATTAAGTTTGTTGATTTTATTATTTATATAAACATACTTAACTAACATGTGATAACTAGAAATCCGGACAAAACTAAAAAACTTATAACTTTGAGACTAAAGGTGCAATTTTATTTCTGTAAAAAGATAATTAAAGTTAAGCATATAAAACTTCAGATTTAAAAAAATTACAAGTTTATCATGCCATGTCTGCAAACTTTGTCCACTCGGCTGAAAGAAGCCTTGCCAAGTCGATGTACGCAATCTTGACTGATCCGTTTTATGCAGTAGCTGATCCTATTAGTGAGCTGGTCCACGGTTCTTGCTCTCCAGCCACGATCATATACTCTTTGTTTGTGTTCTGACCAAAAGTCTTTAATCGGTCAGAGTTCTGGCACATTGACAGGGTTGCGCTCCTTAGGTACGAATTCGATGTTATTCGCTTGGAGGAAATGCCTCTTCTTTGGCCAGAAAACAATCTCATCGTTCTTATGAACTGTTTTGATGAATGGAATCAAGCGCTTCATCAAACATTTCTGAATGTAGATATCTTAATTGATCGCTTGGCCCAAAGGTGTTACCAGGTGCTTCAACAGGCGGTCCTCGGACATAGCAATCCAAACAAGTACCTTTGGCTCGAACTTGGGCTTGCGCTTGAGTTTAACAGCTTCTGGAGTCATTTCAACATCAGACGTGTAGAATCCAGCGTTTCTAGATAGCTCATTATTGCTCAACGAAAAATAGGACTCGTTGTCGATGATCACCATGTTTTTCAGGAAAACTTTGCCAGATGGGCACACTTCGGACGAATTGCTGACTTCTGTTGCGGAGTTTGATCTGGAGCTTTTTTTTTCTTTTTGTATTGGATTGTTGTCTTGGTACTAACTGTTTTTGATATGTGCATTTGGCTAACACCACCACTATGATCGATTTACTTTTTCAGCATGGTGATTCGCTTTGTGTTCATCTTGATTACCACCCGTCCAGTTCCATGCTGTTTTTCAAGGCCTATTTTGAGCATCTTGCTCAAAATAGAAGTGTCTCACAATCTCACTTTTCTTCATATCCGGATGCAAACGTGTACACACGCTTTCTGAGGTCTTCCTGTTTTGAGATAATTTTCTTTGCCATTATAAATAATTGTTTGCTAAAAGGTATATTGCAATTTGAAGAGAATTAAATTTACTACAACATAGCATAAGTTGCAACAATTTTGCAACACTCCTTAAACAATTTATGTCAACTGAACTTTTGTGCGGATTTCTAGGTATCCCATGTTATAATAAGTATGTTGTTTCACCTTAAACTTGATAGTTATGTTTATTTTCATCCCGTTTAAAAGTATTTTTGAAAAAATCAAAATTTTGATAACCAAGCTATAACAGCTTTATGAAATAAAAACTTTTACCTAAAAAATACTGGACCGCAGGAAGGAAACAAGATTCACCTTCTGATTCTTTTAATTCAATAATACCCTAAAAAAAAACAATTTTATTTTTTAAAACAATATATAATTATTGAATTTAATTAATCACTCTGAAAATTTATATATATATATATATATATATATATATATATATATATATATATATATATATATATATATATATATATATATATATATATATATATATATATATATATATATATATATATATATATATATATATATATATATATATATATATATATATATTATATATATATATATATATATATATAATAAGGCAAAATTACTGAGCAAAATTTTTTCAAAAGAAAAATTGATAAGGGTGTCGAAAATTTATATGTAAAGTCAAACACAATTTAAAAACATAAAACTAATTCAGACTTCAACATTTAAAAAATTTAAAAAAACATTTAAAAAAATTCAGACAAATTGGAGCTAATAAATATACTACAGATTTATAATAATAGTAATATAGTTGTGATTGCTATATCCCATATAATATTTTGATGGTTATAGACTTTACAGCACATCATTAAGTTATTAGAAAAATATGTAGGCAGCAAAATCATCTTCTGCATTCACTATGTCAACAATTGAAAAACAAACTGCTTTATTTTTTTTACACTTGCATTTGTACTTGATCCCTACAACATTTAAAATTTAAATAATTCTTCAGATTTTAATCTGAAGTTTTTCCACATTTTTTCTTTATATTTTTCTTTTTTCATTCCTGAATTTAAGTCATTGATTTATAGCTCATTTTCTTTCATCAGCACCTTGTCTAAGAGAGAAAGAGCATCATAGAAAAATATGATGCAATAAAGAAAATTCTCCTGTATTTAAAAAGTTGCATAGTAGAAAATATTAATGGAGTATCAATATATATTTTTTTTTACTAAAATACAGTTTGATTTATACATTTTGTTTTGAGAAAAAAAAAAGCAACGAAATGAATGAATGTAAACAGGTAGGCTTTGTCTTGTTTAGTCTGCTCAATCTTTTCAAAAATAATATTTATCTTATCTTTTTATTGACCAAGCAAATTTGTAAACAATCCATTTTTTATATCATCAAATGGAATAACTTTTACTAACAACCATTACTCTGCCATAAAAAATCTTGCAGCTTAATAAACACTTATATGTGTGTTAAACATAAAAAATAAAAAATAAACATTTAACTAATAACACTGAGATTACTTAAATTCTTTTTAAATTTGAAAAAAAAAATTTTTCTAATTCTTTTGCCAAGTAATGCAAATGTTTGTGACTGTATAAAATAAACATTTCTAAACCAAATAAATATATTTCAACTAAATAATTTACATCACCAGTTGTATTAATACTGTTTAACCTACTGTTTTAACCCAGTTTAGAACAAAGAGTGATTACAAGTAAAACTATAAAATTGCTAGAAAGAATAAGAAAAAGAAGCTTGTTTAAAAGTATTTAGTAAGTGTTTGCAAACACTTATATTATATTTACTAATTATAATTACTAAAATTTAGATAAAAAAAAAAAATTAGTAATTAAAAATAATGACCCTATATAATGTAAATAAATAGTATTGACTAAGACATTTTAGTAATTAGCGTATTACTTAAAATTGCTAAAGTGTGAAGTAAATTTTTAATCACCAGTTCATAATACTCTTAATAAAATAAATCATTAATGATTTTAAATTTTTCTAATATTAAATTTATTTTATCTAAAAATGCTCAACACTATTGATTTCTCGTACAATATTTTTGTGTAGAATTTTCTTCAGATGGCAGATAGATGTCTTTTTTCTTATATCAGATGGCAGATAAATGTCTATTTTCTTTATCAGATGACAGATACATGTCTATTTTTTTTTTATCAGATGGCAGGTACATGTCTATTTTTAATAAATTTGCAATATCTTTATTTATCCTTTTCAATTTTAGCGATAAATTTTATTAAAAGAATTCTCTCTCCTATGTTTAAAGAACATTAGCCAAAACTTTTTAGAATATACCTTGATGCAAAGTCCTGTTTACTTAAGACACTATTATATAGATGTTGTTTGGCATAATTATTAAGTTTAGAAGCAAAGAAATCTAAATCTATAGTTAAGTTTATGTCTTAATTTAAAAACCTCCTCTAACCATATCAAACAAACATTCCAAATCACTATTTATCATAAGAGCTTGCCATTTTTTATAAAGTTGTGCAAGTTTGCTAGGTTGTCACACAGTTTTTAAGTTAAAATTAAAAAACAATGGAAACAGCTGTGTTTCCAGACCATGTATTCTTATGATTATGAATAAATCGAGAAATAAAAAGTTAAACTAAAATTTAATAACATTAATGATAAAGCTGTTAATTTTAAGGTTAAAAAAGCAAGAAAACAAAAGATAGTTTGTAAAGAAATTTTCATTAACATTTGAATGAATTCCTTGTAATGCAACTTTTTTCTTTATCATAAAAGTTTGTTATTTCTTTAACATCGCACCAGTTTACAGAAATGCTTTAATTATACCGTAAAATAATATTCACATTTAAGAATTATGCAAAAAATTGTCTCAAAGTAAGTCAAGATGACCAGTAACTTTTTAAAATTTTAAACTCAAAAAGTATTCTCTATATTTGCAATCACAATTAGCTACAGGAAGTTCACATTTACATGCAGATAAATAAAACAATGAATCAAAATTTTATTCCAATTTTTTTTTTGGTCCTAATTTTTTTCACTGTTTTCCAAACAAACATTCTGAATTTATAACATTTTAATTTTTTGTGCTTTGCACACAAAACTTTTAAAAAAAATTTTTTTCTTACACTTCTTTTTAAGGTTCTTCTCTTTTATATTCCTCGTAGCTCTACATGTTAGATTCTTAATTTTGAGTTCTTCTTTTAGGAAACTTGGCAACTTTTCCAGTACTTGGGCAAAAAAACAGACAGTAATAGAGTCTACTCTGGATTTGTTAGTCTGGTAAGATTATTTAAAGCTATTCCTTTGCTAAGTTCTTTTGATCATAATAACTAAATAGTTTAAAAACTGTTTATGCCATTAAAAAGTCTAAACTATTATAAACTGTAAGTTATTAGTTGTCAAGCACTACTATTGGCTAAGTATTAGTTGTTGAGCACTATGGTTATAAATGTTGACTAATTACTAATTGTCAAGCTCTACTTAAAAGCAAAAATAATTACAAATTAAATTCTTTCTTCCACTAAGTAAATCTAGAACTAATTAAAAAATAAAATTTCTGAATGAAAATAAAATGAAAAAAAAAATGACAAAATTATTGCTGACCATTTATCTTTTTTGAGAGCCCTAGTAGTAAAAATACTTAACTAATAATTTGAAACAGACAACAAAATACCTGAGCCATTGTTTCAACTGTACTGTCATGACGACGTTTTATAGCATGCAAGGTTTTAGTAAATCTAAACAAAAAAATAACAACAACAAAATTTTAAACCACAAAAAAAAACCATTACATTCATTAATTAGTGAGTGTAATAAAAAATATAGCATAAATAAAAACCTATCTACAGTATCAACATTAAAAGGAGCATCTTGAAACTCCATAAGATCAATGAAACTTTGAACATACCTATAAACAAATTTTAATTTAACCTTTATAAAAAAGAAAACAACTTAACATCTTTGGTATTATTTATTTAATAGTGTTCAAGTTTATAAATTTATTTTTAGAGTTTTCTGTTTTTTATTTTTAGCAATTTGTCATTTTGGAACATAATGATAACTTAAATACTAAAAAGTACTCATACCAGCTTCTAACAAGGTCAACTGAACGCATTGATAATAGATTTTTTGGTAAATGACTAATTTCTTGCATTATATGAGCTAAACGAACAGGAACTTCATTGCGCAGAAATTTATATGAACCAAGCGGCTCTGCATTTTTTCCTAAAATTATAAAAATTCCAAAATAATAATTGTTGATGTTTTTTTTTTTATATTTCTTTATATACCACATTAAATAAACGAAGGACTCTCTAACATATACATTTAGGAAATTTTTTTAAGGCAGTTTTAAAAACTTAAAATATATCCTTTATATACACCTTTATGCATACACTTTTTTGAAAGTGTATATATATATATATATATATATATATATATATATATATATATATATATATATATATATATATATATATATATATATGTATATATATATATATATATATATATATATATATATATATATATATATATGTATATATATATATATATATATATATATATATATATATACATATACATATATTTATTTATATATATATATTTTGTTATTTATTTTTTAAATACCATTTAACTATTAAAAATATAATTATTATATATATATATATATATATATATATATATATATATATATATATATATATATATATATATATATATATATATATATATATATATATATATATATATTATTATTATTATTATTTTATAAACATCAATAAATACGATTTTCTCTCAATACTAAATTTATTTTTAAACTTTTATTTTTTATAAGAAATTTTCGCTGGATTGTTGTGACCAGCGCCTTCAGCTTAAAAGATTTTGTTTGTTTTTAGATGATATCTAAATTATATCTAAAAACAAACAAAATCTTTTAAGCTGAAGACGCTGGTCACAACAATCCAGCGAAAATTTCTTTTAAAAAATAAAAAATAAATTTAGTATTGAGAGAAAATTGTACTTATTGATGTTTATAAAATAATAATTTACATACTCTCATACATGATGTCTACATTCAAAAATATATATATATATATATAAGTAAATAAATATATATATATATATATATATATATATATATATATATATATATATATATATATATATATATATATATATATATATATATATATATATATATATATATTTATTTACTTATATATTTTTATATATAAGTAAATAAATATAAACAACTGTTTGTTGACAGAATACTTTTCAAGTATTCTGTCAACAAACAGTTGACAGAATACTTGAAAAGTTGTTAGTTTTTAAAAAATTCCAAATAACTTTGTGATTGATTGTATATATAGTTTCCATGAGAGGTCAATAGAAAACATTAATCCAGGAAGACATAAAGAAGTGGACTCAGTGAGAGGGTTGCTGTTCATTGATATAGAAGTGTCTACAGTATTGTGATAATGAACCTACAAAATGTAAATAAATAATAAAATTCAGCTACTTACTGTTTGCAATAAATAACTGAGTTTTGTTAAAGTTGAAATTCACAAGCCACTGCAAACCCTAATCCGTTACAGAAGTGAGATCAGATTCAATTGTTATTGTCAAATTTAAGTAGATTTTAAAGAACCACATCTTTTCAAAGAACTATCATCTATTCAAACTTACTGATCTCCTTAGTTCATACAGAAACATTTCAAAATTTAAATTACAAACACTGAAGTGTGTAGTATACTTTAAACTTTAAATGAGGACTAATCAGTGGTGTGTAATTGTTTCACCCTTTCTGTATTTTGATAAGTAAAGTTTTTTTTGATAATACATGTCTCTTTGTGCTTTACAATTTAACTTCTATATGTTTCATTTCATATTGGAAAATAATAACTCTGCTAAGTCTTTTTCTTATGCTGTTGCTTTTAATAAAAACTCCATTTGCATAACATTGTACTTACATTTAATGAAAACTATTAAAAAATCATGTTATCATTTTTTTGAAATATAATATATTTTATAACTTATAATACAATCTTAGATACAATCCATTAACCATAACTTTAACCATAAATAAATAAATGTTGTTCAATGTTTATTTTATTTATAATTGATGACATCTTAGTGTCATCAGCGAATAATTTTAAAGTTAAAGAGATAATTTAGAAACATCATTTTAATATAACAAAAAAAAGTAAAAATCCTAAAAATTAACTTTTTTTTTTAAATCTTCGCTTCCAACAAGGCTGCAAGCAACCACTAAATAGAGCTGGAAGTTACTGGAAGTAAAAGATAAAGATTGTAGAGCAAGATAACGATTAACAGATGACTTGAAACATTGCAAATTATATGAATCAGGAAAGCAAGATGAAGGAAGCGAATCCCAAAGAACTGTCGTTCAAGAAAAAAAATTGAGAAATAAAGGTTTTTAGAGCACTAAGGAACAGTCACAGAAAAAGAATAAGACTTAATTGAATGATGAGTAACACAAGAATGAATTTTAGTAGATGGCACAAGAGACACTAGGTCTTTAGAACAGTGTCCTTTATATTATTTGTAGAAAAAAGAAAGAGAAGCAACATTACGATGATGTGACTATGGTTGGAGGTTGGCTGCAAGAGCAGGTCCAACTATGTTTACAATGCGTGCACTTGTCTTAAAGAAAGAAGATGTTATTAGAAGATCCACCACAAATATGGCAACAGTATTCCATACAGGGCTAAATTTGAGATTTATAGAGATAGAGATATAAAATCCAGAGTAAGAAAGTGTCGAGCTCAATAAAGAAATGCAACCTTAGTACATGCTAATTTTGCAATCGATTTGATATATATGGTTTCCAAAAAAATCGGAAGTAAGAGTTAATCCTAGAAGATGAAGGGTAGATGGGTTATCGAGTACATTACCGTTCATAAATATAGGAAGGTCTAAATTATTGCAATAAAGATTGGCTGAAAAAAATTGAGTTTTATCTGAAATAAAGTTCACCAGCCACTGTAAGCTCCATGCTGAAGCAGAAGTGAGATCTTTTTCAAGCTCAAATGCCCCCTCCAAGCAATCAGAGAGTGTTGGCTTCTTATCATGACGAGAATAAATGCTAGTATCATCAGCAAACAATGCCACCGTAGATGTGAGAATATACAAAAGATCGTTAATGTAAATTAAAAAGAGTATAGGGTCAAGAATTGAACCTTGAAGAACCCCTGAAGTTACAGAATAAGAAGAAGAGGGCTGTCCATCAAGAACAACTTTTATACTACAATTGGAAAGGAAGGATTCAATAAGATGTTTCCAGATACACCTCAAGTTGATAGCTTATGGAGAAGACCAGCATGCTAAACTTTATCAAATGCTTTAGAAATGCCAAGAGCAATGGCCTTAACCTTGCCACCTTTATGGAATGCATGATAAAACCTATTGGTCATTACTGTTAGCGAATCAGCTGTAGAACAAGAAAATCAAAATCCATATTGATGATCAGAAGAAAAGTTATTAGATTCAAGATCAGAGATAAAGTGTTTCTTAATTAAAGATTCAAAAACCTTACTTATGATATGAAGAAGACTAATTGGACGGTAATTGGATGAGTCAGATTGCTCTCCAAAATTTGTGGATATAGGAATAACAGATGCCGCTTTCCAGCAGGCTGGAAAACAAGACTTTGATAAGCACTTATCGAATAGTTTTGAAAGTATAGAAAAAAACTCCGGAGAACACTTCTGCAAGGCTATAACAGGTATGCTGTCCGGGCTACAAGCTGTAGAAGAGTCTAAGCAGAAAAACATTTTTGATACAGAAGATAATACGAATGTCAAGCAATGGATCAACCTGTTAGACGGCTAAATCAGGTAGAATGCAACTAATGGAATTAAGAGATGATTTTGATAAAAAGTTCTTAGCAAATAATTCAGCTTTGTCTTTAGGTGAGGTGACAAAGTCTGAACCATACAAGAGAGGTGGAATTACAGATTTGCCCTTATTATTGATACTATTAAAGATTCTCCAGAAGTCACGAGAGGCTAATTTTTGTGATGAAATACAAGATTTCATGATCTGAGAGTAGCGGGCTTAGGCGTTAGACAAAATCTTTTTACAATGGTTTCTAGCAGTAATAAACAGATGTCTGTTTTATGGAGAATTGTTTTGCTGATAGATATGGAAGTAACAGTTTCGATTGGAAATTGCAGCAGCACAATGTAAAGAAAACCATGGAGAAGAGTGAGGCTTCACATGAAATTGTCGAGAGGGAATAAAAGATTCCATGCCAGTCTGAATCCACAAAGTTATGTAAGAAGTACATTTGTCAATAGAAAGATTAAAAACTTCTACCCAAGGGCTATCACAAAAAAAATGGAATGGAAATGAAAAGAGTCCCAGTTACCTTTAAGGTAGTTGTAAGAGATACAATGATATGGGAATTCAGATGATGAAGAAGAATGAGATAACAGTTTTAGAGAGGTCTGTGAGAAACTGTGATCAGAAGCAACTAAGGTTGAATGTAGAAAAACTGAGCACTGACTAGGATCAGAAACAAGACGTAAGTCGAGTAGAGAAGGTAAATGATTCAGGTTGTCTGGAAAGCGAGTTGGAAAGTTGACTATTTGAGTTAGGGATTGAGAAAGTTAAAAGTTGTGGCCTTTAATGCCTGGAGAGTCACTGACACTAGAGCCAAGCTAATCAACGCAATGAGCATTTAAGTCACCAACAACAACAATATTGGCTGATGGATAAAGAGAGAAGACTAGGTGAATTTAATCAGAAATAACATCAAAAAGAGTTTAGTCTTGAGATAAAGGAGAAAAATATAGAATAAAGAGAAAGGCGATAGAGTGAAATGGTGCTAAATGAAAGCACATAAAAGAATAGTATGTGGATTCAAACCTAGTTTCCTGAAAAATGGGTGAACTCTTATGAATGTAAATGCCCAGGCCAAGCATGTGACTATTGGAGTCTTTACGAAATAAATCTAAACAATAACTTGCCTAGCAACTTCACTAATTACTACTCTCTGTATTCTGTTTATTATAAACAACACTCTTTAAAACAGTGCATTAAACTCCATAAAAAGAGGATGGTGAATAAGGATGTTGACAGGTACTGGGTACCTGCCTCTTGGTTACTGTCTAGGTAGCATTATCAAATGACAGGTAACTAAATTGGAGAAAAAAGTAAATGTGCATAACTGTGAATACAGTGCTATTGGAATGCGCTTT